AAGGCTGGGCTACCCCGCCGTGGAAGGCATCTTCTGGTCGCCGAGCACGGTCTCTGGTTACCGGGATAACAGCTGTGGCTGAGCCGGACCCCTCCTACAGGATTCCCAAACACTTCCCAGACGAATTGCTTCGATGTTTAAATGTTTAGGATCGAAACAGCAGCATCCCTATGAAGCTTAGGAGAGGAGCTAACGAAACAGTGTTGGATCTATGTCCAAATGAAGCCAGAGTTTTCCAATGCAGGGTGTCACTAAAACTTTTGATGCCCTTTCCCAAGGGCTGCTTTATTCATTGCTTCCTTCCTAGCGTCACTTCTTTGAAGCCCCGGGACTGTGTCCTTGTATTTCTGCAGCACAGAGCTAGCGAGTTGGAGTGGCGGGGGGCGGGGGAGCACGGTGCCGTGGACTGTGCTGCCCCTGCCCTGGTCTTACAATGTAGTTAGCATTGAGGAGAGAGCTGGGGCCTCGGGTTTGTTTTGTCCTAAGAAAGCCCCCTCCCAAAAGCCCCCTGCCCTCTATCAGCACAGTTCACGATGGCCCTGAGGAGCAGAGCAATGGTCTCTGCAGCAGAGACCCTGAACGGTTCGTGTGAGTTAAGGGATGCTTTGAAATTGTTTGGGGTATAGAAGAGGTGGTGGTGCTTGCTTTCCTGCAACAGACACGTACTCTGATCTCTTCCTGCTTTTCTAGCATCCGCCGGCCTGACTGAGGAGCAGAAGGAATTCCAAAAAGTTGCCTTTGATTTTGCTACCAAGGAGATGGCTCCTCACATGGCTGAGTGGGATGAAAAGGTATGACGGCCTCAGAAGGCTTGTGCTGCTTGCTTTTTCCTCCCTTAGGATGTTGTTATCCTTGGGACTCATCAGAGGGGTTCCTGCAATAGCTCCTCGGAGCTGTAATGCCATCTGTAGAGATTTTCTTTGAAGCTGCTGCTGTAGCTGGGGTGGGAAGCCATCAGCAATTCCTTGAAGCTTTCCTAGCCAAGCTATTCAATCGTGTGAAAACCTGAATTGACTCCTGAAGATGGTATGTATCTGTCTAGATAGCTGCCTCTTCTTTAACCCACCCAACTAACTTAAACTCTGCAGGAGTTTGGGACTGGACTTTGGTAGCCCAGGTGTACCAGAAAGAAGAGACTCAATATGGAGATTGAATTGATCGTGAATATTCACTTGCGATGTCTCTGCCTCTCCCAATAGGAAATATTCCCCGTGGAAACAATGCGGAAGGCAGCCCAGCTAGGATTCGGTGGGATCTACGTGAAACCAGATGTCGGTGGCTCTGGATTGTCGCGACTTGATACCTCCATAATCTTTGAAGCTTTATCAACGGGGTGTACCAGCACCACTGCTTATATGAGCATCCACAAGTGAGTGTGTCTGTGGTGTGGTGGGTGGTGTCAGCCTGACTGAAAACCACATTTTTTTTCTCTGGGCTCTAAGTCCAGCTGGAGACAGCTCTCTTGATGCTGCTCATTACTTAAAGCCGGGACCCCAAGTAGACACCTCCCTGTGAGGATCTCTTGACAGCAGTAAACAAATAGGCTACAAAAATTGAGATGCCACCAAGAAGTAATTTTAGCTTTGTGGCATGCAAGACAGGATTAAGTTCTGGATTTTGTTCCCTGCTTTTCCACTTAAGCCGTCTATAGATAGTAACCTGCCTGGAAAAAGCTTTTGTGCTTTGGTTGTACTGTGACACAGCCCAGAGGCACCAGCTGATACCAGGGCCCTATCCTGCCTGTACAGACATGTTCAGTCACGGGCTCACTTTGCATGGAAGGATGGAGTGATGATGCCTCCTCCTTCCAGGTGCAGTTTTCCAGAGACAGTAGGGCTTAGTGCTGAGGGGAACGCCGAAGCTATTTAAATAGGAACCTGCTGTTCCACAAGGCAGCGAGTCTGTGGTGAATGGAAGGTGATCTCCTTCCTCCTGACCTCTGTGGCACGTAATTTTGCAGATCACCTGCAGCAGAGGTGGAGCAATACGCTTTCAAGCCTCGGTGCTTTTGACTGAACTCCACGGAGCTTTGTTCTTCTGTTCAGCCGGGGATGTTCTTATATGACCCACCTTCCTCCCAGGTCTGTGTTCACGTACTGTAATGCTGCTCCTTCTCTCCTGCTCCAGCATGTGTGTTTGGATGATCGACACCTTTGGCAATGAGGAACAGAGGCACAGGTTCTGCCCATCGCTCTGTAGCATGGAAAAATTTGCTTCTTACTGCCTGACTGAGCCAGGTGAGCATCCTCAACCAAGAAATCTTCTCCCTTCCCTCACTCCTAACATGGTTTAACTGGATGTGAACGTTGCACGGAGCCGGAGGCGAAAAGTTTCTTTTCGTGTTCATTTGGGCAATCACCGGGAAGTTGGGAAGGGGCAGATGATGATCTCTCAGATGCTCGTGGTACAAACCCAGGTGTCGTTGGGTGTGGTCCCCGGGAGAGTTTGCTGGCTCTGGACCTGCTGCTTCACTGGCTGTTTCCTTACCTCTCCAACAGGAAGTGGAAGTGATGCAGCTTCCCTGCTGACTTCAGCTCAGCGGAAAGGGGACACCTACGTCCTGAATGGCTCCAAGGTACCTCTTTGCTCCTCCTAAAGCTGCTGGATGGCACTGCATGCACGAGGGGCCCTGGGTCTCACCATCCTTCCCATTTCCTACTGTCTCCTCATCTCTCTCTATTCTCCCAAGGCAGGACATGCTCTGCAGAGCATTCACCAGAGCTTAGTGCAGTTGGGTCCCTAAATACCTCCTGGCCGTGGGGTCTTTGCCCGTCCATTTTCATACCCTGGCTGCTGCTGCAGGCTCAGGGTTAGCATATGAAAGTCACCCCTTTCTTCTTGTCCTTCTGCAGGCCTTCATCAGCGGGGGAGGCGACACCGATGTGTACGTGGTCATGTGTCGCACAGGAGGCCCGGGCCCCAAGGGCATCTCCTGCCTGGTGCTGGAGAAGGGGACACCCGGGCTCAGCTTTGGCAAGAAAGAGAAGAAGGTAAGAGGCTTGGTTTTTCCTTCCTGTGTGCTTGAGGGAAGTGCAGGGCAGAGATGAGTCCCAGCCTGGCGTGGTTTTTCCAAGCCAAGTCCAGCTTTGGTGAAGTTTGCCCAATACCTGTCCCTTTGGTAAGAGAAGGATTTATATCTCAGGAACATCAAGGTTTGTTGGACCTGTGCCTCTTCTCAAGTACATGCATTCCAGTTGCCAACTTGGCACACTGAGGCCAAACCACATAGACCACAGGCACTCTGCGGCAGCTTGGCAAGGAGACCGAGGGGTTGAGAGCAGGCTGGGCAGTTCTCTGCTGGGAGCTGGAGGCGTGCTGCTCCTCAGGCAGTCTGGAAGGTGCTCTGGTTTTTCCCAGGTGGGCTGGAACTCCCAGCCAACTCGGGCTGTGATCTTCGAGGACTGCGTTGTTCCTGTTGGCAGCCGGCTGGGAGCTGAAGGGCAGGGCTTCAGCATTGCCATGAAGGGACTGAATGGAGGCAGGATAAATATTGGTAAGACAGACAGCTGAGAGCTGAGGGAGCAGGGCAGGACCATCTTGTTGCCTGTCTGCGTTAGCTTCATATTCATGCTGTCTCCTTGGCTTCTCCCACCAGCTTCTTGTTCGTTAGGAGCTGCTCATGCCTCTGTTCTTCTGGCTCAGGAACATCTCACTGTCCGCAAACAGTTTGGAGAACCCCTAGCAAACAATCAGGTAACCTCTCCACCAGACCTGCACTCCCAGAGCTGTGCTCTTTCTGATCTTGGCTGAACAAGCAGCCAGAAGTCACATCACTCGCTTCACAGGGTTTTCCCTGGAGAAGTCAGGAACGTGCTTTTCCTGAGTAAGAAAGCCTGTCAGGCCTGAGACCTGCCTGAAGGTAGTGGGATGTGGTGCAGGACCCAGGCCCCTCCAAAGATGCTGGCCTAATTTTTCCTCTTGTGCTGCCTGCTGGCAGTACCTGCAGTTCAGGCTGGCGGGGATGGGGACGCGGCTGGTGGCAGCACGGCTCATGGTTCGCAATGCAGCGCGGGCACTGCAGGAGGGACGGGAGGACGCGGCTGTGCTGTGCTCCATGGCCAAGCTCTTCGCTACTGATGAATGCTTTGCGGTAGGTCGCTCAAAGCTCAGTTGGTGTCGTAACTGCAAGCCTGGAGACCCCTCTTGGTGCCCAGGATGTGAGAAAGAAGTTTCACACTGTAGGGACCCAGACCCAAGCGTGTTCATTGAGACAGAAGCCTCATTTCAGGACCAGGATGTTTTACGAGACAGAATTCTGCACCCTGTGGAGGCTGCATTAGGAGTATTAGCCTCTCCACAGTTCAGCCCTCCTGGCCTCTAGTGCTTTCTACGCTACTTTCTAGGGGACCAAGCAGGGAGACAGGACAGGGAGTAGAGCGTCTTTATTTTCAAAGGATAATATGCACTTTGCGGGCTGATCATTCCTAGGTAGCAAGTGGTCTTTCCTAGACCACTGAAAAATACGTTATCACAAAATGTCTCTGAAAAGAGAAAGCAAGAAGGGAGAAAAAGAAAGGAAAAGGAAATCTGCACCTTGACAGTTGCCAGATCAGTGGCATTTAGAAGCTACTGTATTTTCTCAGCGCTCTGCATTTTCGCTATTTATTATGTTTTATGCCCCAGGTTGACAGGTAATGACGCATGGAGTCACGTTTCAGTAGAAACCAGAGCCCTGAGCAGATTCCTCGCCTGACTGACCGCTAGATGGTGATCTGGCGTTTTGCTTTTTGCAACAGTAGCACCGTAGAAATGCAGCAAAAATTGCCTTAGTTAAGTAAAGTGTTTCCCGGGTATTTCTATGCTATCATGTTCACATAAATGCACCATTAAGGTGAAACAGCACTTAGGTAACATGATAGCACCGAGAGCAGCACTGATGGGGACTGGGAGTGCCTTGCCGTCACACCACACTTTGTTAAGAGATGAGATTAGGTGACCAGAGAAAAAAAAAAAAAAAAAGAGCCCAGGTTCCTGGGTTCTTACCGAGTTTCTGTCGCTTGTCCTCGACACCACGCAAGTCACTTCACCAGCGATGTTATCTTCTTAGATCTGTAACCAGGCTCTACAGATGCACGGGGGCTACGGCTACCTGAAGGATTATGCTGTGCAGCAGTTTGTGCGAGACATCAGAGTCCACCAGATCCTGGAAGGTAAAAGACACTCTTAGTACCAGTGACTGGGCAGGGAAGCCAGGAGAGAACAGACCCTCGGGAGGCCTCTGCCTTCCCACATGACTCCCTGACTCTTGGGTTTCAGGATCCCATTTTGCGCTGAGCATGAGGTGTCCCTGGCCGTCATGTGTATGAATCCCTTGGCCAAGAGCTCTTGGTGTACTGGAGCAGTTACTGTGTATTTTAAGAGTCTTACAGCAGGGGGGGGATATCTAGTTGTCATGTTAGCGGTGCCTTTGTCCAGTTTCATCCCATTACTCCTACAGACACGTGCTGATGCTCTCCAATTCCTTCCCTGTTATTCCAGTCTATCTTCACTCTTTGACACTGTGTCTCTAACAGTGTCTGGTCTTTTCTAATCTCAGTTCAGCCTCCTAACCATCTTGTTTTCCCTCCTTTGAAATCCCTTCACCTACAACCAGGGTACCTGGTAAGGGACGTACTCTTTCCGATACCAAGTGGGTCTCCAGTCTTTCTTTCTGTGTGCTGTATATGTGTTAAATAGCAAAGCGGAGAAGTCGGGTGTTGATATATATCCAGTTCTGCTTGATGCCTGCATCCTCTCAATGCCCAAATAAAAAGAAGCACCAGCATCTACCATTCTGATACCTTTCCCGAGCAACATGCTGGCACCTGGCAGTTGTACTTTGGCCCAGCACCTCCTAAGTGCCTCCTCATTTGGGGGGAGGAGCTTTTCTGTGCTTTAAGATGCAGCTTGGGGAGGAATTCTCTTCACTGGGGGCAGAATTGGACCATCTCCTAGCTCTCTTTCTTTTGCACCCTCATCCTGCTGCAGGTACCAATGAAGTGATGCGGATGATTGTGGCCAGGAATCTGCTACAGGGCTGAAAACAGGAGCTAAGCTTCAGCCTTAAATTACTTAATCTGTTACAACTTGGTCTGTTCCCTTCTCCTGTTGATCAACTCTCTCCCCAGCAGTGGAGGGGGAAATACCCCAGTGGAAACAGCCTTTCTGCCTTATATTGACTGGGAGCACAGCTGGATGGCACCCCCATGCTGCCACAGCTGCGCTCTGTGCCTGGTAGAGCTGCTGTTACTAGGCTAGTATTGTGCAGCCTGAAGATAGAAATCACGGTTGTGAATACGAGCCTCTGTCTCCAAATCTTGCTCGCGGGCTGCTTGGCACCCATCCTTCTCGGAAAGAGAAACACTAAACCTGTTGGTCATCTCTGCTGACTCACGACTGAAAGGCGAACTTCAGGCAGAGGTGCAGCCTGTTCCCATGGGACTCCTCCTCCATCAGTGAAATCTTTGGTTTGAGGAAACTTGTTGCTCTGCTCAAAAGCCTGTCCTGGGTGCCGACTGCACCACTGGGAACAAGTTAGCCTCAAGTACTGCAGCTCTAATCACTTGCAGAATGCAATGGCTTTTTAACTGAGGAGCAGGATGCCTCTGCTTTCTCTAGAAGCGCTCCCGCCTTTTCCCAGCACCCCTTTTCTGAGGTACTAAGTGCTTGTTCTCCCTGTTCCCACCACGTACTGGTGCTTAATCTCAAAGAAGCCTTTGCAGTAGAGGCACAAATCAAGATCTAAGGTCCTGCACAGAACTCTGTTGCCTCAAATCAGTACTCCCTGCTGCATACAAAGTAGGGGGAGTGAAAACATTGGTAAATTATTTTTTCCTCTTAGATTTGGAATCAATAAAGCAATGATGTTAACTTTACTGAGAGAGTCAGAGGTTGTGGTAATTTTCTTCTGTGGTATTTCTCCATATTTAACCAGAGGTAGCAGGAACTTTTTGAAGGAGGGGGTCACAAAATGTTCAGTTTCTGAGGGTTTTTTCAGTTAGCGTGCGTTAACCTCTTCAGACGAGCCGGCTCCTCTCTCCGCACAGGCGAGTGCGTGCCAGGGAAGGGAGACGGGAGCGCACTGGCGGCGGGCACGGCTGGTTTTCCACCTCGGACTTTGCTCCGCGGCGGGAGGCTCCTCCTTAGGCCTCCTCCCGCGGTTTCCCGCGCGCTCTGCAAAGGGCACGTCTCTCTCAGGGCGGCGGGGGCACGGTAAGGCCCGAGCGCTCACG